CTGGATGCCACTAGAGAAGGAGGAAATGAAAACAAAATTAAGAATAAAAGAGGTGTTTTTTGTTTTTTTTTAAAGAAGTCTGGCCCATATAGACCAGAAAAAACACAAAAAAATAAAGGTTTAATGTCGCTGTAAAATTTGTATATGAACAGCTGTTGACTTTTTTTGCTAGCTTTAACTGCAACAAAATGTACGTTTTAGGCACAAGAAGCAGCCTCCACCACCCGCTGAAAAGTGTAGATTGCTTTTCAGAGGGTGGTGGAGTAGCGGCTGCCCATAATTCAGGAGGAATACTGTCGCCTTCTGAATGCAGGTTTTTTAAAAATTTTTCTTTATCCCGATGTGGATTTTCTATTGCAATACCGCATCCCCACACGGTTTTGGCAGGATCCGATTCATTGCAATTATTTGACAAGCAGCAGCTCCTGCCAAAGGCAACATCCTGTATCAGACCCGGAGCAATGTATACAGAACTGTTCAGCTGCAGTGCTGACATTGCAACAGCGGGGGACCAGAAGATCGACACTCCCAGAAGTGCAGGTTCCTGCAAAAGACTTCAGCTGGGCATTTCTCTGGAATCGAGCAGCATTCGGTGTTCTGGGTGGCAGGAGAGGTAATGTTTCTATTTCTTCTTTATAGGTACAGCATTTCTGGGTATTTGCTGTTTGGAAATTGAATAAAGCCTGAGAAACTAAAGTCATCAATGACCATGTGTTTTTTTTATTTCCACATTTTAATTCTGTGCATGCATCTGTGTCCATGTAGAGTTGTGGTAAAATGATTGCACCTGTGCCTCTGTTATTATGCTCACAATAAAGCGTTAAGAACCATCTGTTTTTCTTTCCTCCCACCCTGTTAGGATATTGGATTCCGACTCGATAGCCTGCGAGCAATCTTGTTGCAGGAAGTCCTGATACAGGAGGATGTGGAACTGATTGAGTTGCTTGACCCTGGGATCCTGTCTGCTGGTCAGACCCAGAATCAACAAAAAGGGCATCTTCCAACAATGCGCTCCCTAGCAACTCCTAATATTTGGTACGTTCCAGCAAGTGGAATCACTTTTTTAAGAAAATAATGCATTTTAAATCGTATAGTGGAAATTAATTTATTGTACATTTCACAGCTGCATATAAGCAATGCTGCTCATGTGCCAAGGGTTTAAAGAGAACCTGTCTGTTCTAACTTTTTATTTTCTACCTAGCAAGTCACTGACCAACAACAAGCATGCAGTCAGACAAGTGTTAACATTGCACCCCTGATGTGCTTAATATTGTCTCAGATTATTGATTTACCTATAGTAAATGTAAACAGTATGCTGTCAGAGGGTAATAAAAACCAGACAAAGGGTTCTTTTCAAAGTTTGGAAGTCCTGTAGGGTCTGTCTGAAGGCTGTTTTGTGCAATTACATTTAGAATTTTGACTTGTGATACCTGTGCAAAGTTCACACAGGCTAGAAGCCAAGGTAGGGCCCAGAGTAGTAGGGTGCCACTGAACTACTGTATGAGCTATGTTTGCTTGCTCTTTTTGTAACAATTGTTTTAAACAAAGAGTAAAAGACAAAACTCAGTAATTTTATAACCCCACGGTATACATAGAACAATTCTAGCCTTGTCACCTCAACTTTCTATACAGTGCTAATAGTAGATGGCTTATCTTTTGAAATGTTGACATAGGTACAGGTATTAAAAACATCAGGGACAGAAGTACACTGCCTGGCCCAAATAAAAAGTCACCACCTGGATTTAGCTAATCAAATACGTAAGAGCCTTCTGTTGGATAATTACTGCACTGATTAATATGTTTCATGTGTTCTATCCCAAAAAAATGAGGTCAGCTGCCTACCTAAATATACTGAATGACCAGGTTTTTCCATCAATGGATTTTTTTTCTTCCTTGATGGCACATAGGGCATATTCCAAGATGACAATGCCAGGATTCATCAGGTTCAAATTGTGAAAGAATGGTTCAGGGAGCATGATGCATTATTTTCCCCACATGGGTTGGCCAGTGCTGGAGAAGACTTTATGCAGTGTTCTGACTCTCCCATCATCACTACAAGACCTTGGAGAAATATTAATGCGACTTTAGACGGAAATAAATGTTGTGACATTGCATAAACTTATTGAAACGATGCCACAGCGAATGTGTGCCATATTCAAAGCTTAAGGTGGTCCAACAAAATGTAAGAGTCTGACCATTTTCTTTGGCCAGGCAGTGTATAAAAAAAGAACATGTTATCAAAGAAATGTTGCGTTTTTTGATTTGTTGTCCTTTTAGTGTATATTTTTAATATATTGTATTTGTAGTATGTTTGTTTTTTTTGCCAGGTAAAAATGAAATCTATGCTTACTAATATGTCATATTTACAGCCATCAGGGGGAGCTCTGAGCTGCTTTTTTTTTTTTTTTTTCCAGACAGGTTTACAACTTTGTGTGCAGAACACAATAGCAGAAGCTCAAATCACACACCATTGTATGAGTACAAACGGTGTAAACTATAGAATTCTGTAGAAAACATAATGATAATGTAAAGATGATTACCAGAAACAGATTTAGTGCCTGTATTTTGCTATGTTTCCATTTGAAAATGATTTTCACAAGTTCACTGTATTTTTAGGGTGATTAAAAGGAGCCCCCAAAATTATTTTGTTGCTGTATATTGCCAACTTACAAAAACCTTTTTTGTCTTGTTTCTCTCCCTATAAAAAATAGCTAACAATGTATGCCACCCATAACCCAATATGATCCATTATTGTCAGTAGGAAAAATCTGGAGAAAGAGAATATCATCACATGATTGTTCTTCTTTCTTTGTGTTCTCCTTTATTGATGGCCCTCACTTATACCACTTTTTATGTTGAAGTTTTAAAAAAAATTTCCATTTTGATATACCGTACTAGTAAAAATGTTGGCAATATGAAAATTCGATATAGTGCCAACCTCATTCACCAGGCGCCATAATATTGTTATCTAGTTTTTCAGAGTAGGTAGTTCTGATCTGAGCTTTTAATGGATTATTTTTCATTCCTTGCACAGGGAGATGTCTGTATTGTTTGCGTTCCTCAGTGCTTTGGCTGCACTGAAGTCTTGGCACCTATCTTCTTTATTCATCTGGGGGCCCAGCCTTCTTTTCTTTGCCATTTTTGCCGTCCTGCGAGTGCTGAGAACATGGAGCGCAGCCAGGCTACAGGTCAAACTGAAAAAGTACTGCGGCCAGTTGGAAATGACCGTAGCGAACAGCCGAGCCTTCACCAACCTTGTGAGAAAATCCCTGCGCTTAATCCAGGAGACGGAAGTTATTTCTCGGGGATTCACTCTGTAAGTGTTCTTGATTTTGTGTATTGCATAATGTTTTGCATTGTGTATGTTTGATCAGGTTGTTCAACAATGTTCAGGGAAGGACATATAACTATAGAGGTTAAGAGACTGTCCAGCAGGCATGTATAGAGGGGGACGGGGAACTTGTCCTGCTTTTAAACACAGTAGAAAAGGCCCACAGAGTGTAGGTGCCAGCCATAATTTCTCAGCTGCCTATCACCTACTGGTTTTTTTTTTTTTAGCCCTGATAGTATATGATGTAACATAAGCACACAGAGCTAGTGATGCCATCAAGTTTCTTCTGCTGTAGATTAGGATGTGCTAAAATCTGATTTGTTTAATGCAAGAAGGCACGTTTAACCCCTTCAAACAGCAATAGTTGATAAGTATTAGGCCAATTAATTAGCCGTATTTGTGGGAGGAGCCCCGCACATTTAAAGGAGAACTATGGGGTCAGGGCTTTTCCCCATAGTTCTCAGGGTAGCGTCCTCCCGTCACCCTAGGCTCAGTATACCGCAAGCTACAGCTCGCGGTATACTGAGACGCCGGAGCGGATCCCGACATCGATGTCGAGATCCGCCCAGCTGGGTGAGTGACAGCTGGCTCTGCCTATCTAGAGGCAGAGCCAGCTGTACCCGCCCCCTCGCCCGTCCGTTCCGCCAGTCAGCGCTGGCAGATCGGAGAGGGGAATCCCCCCCCCGCCACGGCAGAGAGCCGTGACAGGATCGAAAGGTGAGCGAACCCGGTATGTGTTCGCTCACCTCCCGATCTACTGAGCCGACCTGTGACCGTCTCAGTGTCACAGGGCGGCTAGGCTTTTTAAGCTCCTCCGTCTCCCGCACTCACCCGTCGGCTTGTGGGTGTCATCCCACCCGCCCCACCCCTTTTTTTCCAGTTACTTTTACTCTGAGTATGCCCCCTTATTTTGCATACAGACCATAGTGACCACGGCACACCCCAGGTCATTGTAGGCAGGTTCATTATCTCGATTATCGGGGGCTCTGACGACAAGTATATTTTATTTATTGTGTCTGTGCCATTTTTGCTTTATGGCAAACTAGATGTCCATGTTTGGTTTGCAGACAAGAACAAGATTTATTCACCTGGTAGGCAAATGGAGCAGACATTTAAAGCCAATGATTATTATTACTGGAGAACTGGAGGTTAATAAGTCTTCATTTAACACCTGCTTTAAAGTGTCAAACTTTACCTAAAGGTCCCCACACACCTTACGATAATCGTACGATAATCGCGGGAAATCCCGCGATCGTACGATTATCGTAAGGTGTGTGGAAGCCGTGCGACCTCTACTACTGTAAGGTCGCACGACTTTAAACTTACGGACATGTTCGAAAACCCGCCGAGCATTGTGCGATGTTCGGCGGGTTTGTGGCATGTCCGTACGATAACAGCCGTACGGGCCGGTGTGCGCAAGCGCACACTGCCTGTTCGGCATTGCGGTCATCGGAATCCCGCCCCTCAGGGGGCGTGGCTTCGGATCATCGCAAGTACGATCTGCCTATGCAACATAGGCAGATCGTACGTTTTTTTAAGTACCTTACAACCATCGCAAGACAAAAGTCTTGCAATGGTTGTAAGGTGTGTGCCCTGCCTAACACTGAATTTAGAGTGTGGGATGAATCGGACTTTCTAGAGGTTCAGTACATATTTAAAATTGTGCTTCTGAAAGAGTCCGTTGCTCAGTCTTAAAGTGTATCTAAACCCTCCAAGAAACGTAATATATTGCAGCTTATTAGTCCTTTAATGTGGCTACATTAGTTTCCTCTCTTTCAGTTTTTTTTTTCCTTTTTATTTGCACCGGGTAGTCCTGTCAGTTACTCATTTCCTTTCCCCGGGTGACGACACTGACTCTCTGTAGTGTATCTATGAAGTGTTGTCACGCTAGGTGGCTTTCCTGATTTGGACTACAAACATCTGATCTCCTAATTTTCATAGGGAGGAGATGTTTTGTAGTTAACAGACGATCGCTAGACAACTGATGACATTTAATATATCACTTCAGTGCTCAGCAATTTACAAAGAAACTGGAATTCTGTCAAGACCAACAGGTATTTTTCTTCACTAGCAGAAAATGTACTTAGTCTGAAAAACAGCAGCCACCACATCTAAGGACGTGTAAGCTGCAATATATTTTTGTTCTTGGGTTTTGATATCCTGTAGTTAAGTGAAATGTAAACCACTACAGTGCTTTTTTTTATATACTGTTACAAGAGTGGAAGACAGCATGGGCTGTCAGTCCTTATTCAACCAGTTAAAGGGGCAGCAACTATCAGTTCTCAGTGGACCCCTCACCTTATAATATTTTCTGTTCGAGCCAATCTCAGCCAAAATAAAGAAAGCTAAATAAGGGGTAAATTACATATCTCATAACCACCTGCACAGTCCAGATCATTTAAGACTAAATGTTCAGATGTAGAAATGAGCCTAGTCGTGAATGGGTACTCTGACCCAGCATGGAAGTTGTGTTCTGCTAGAGAAGACATCCCCACTGTGGTCTTGTAAGTTCTTGCATGGGGTCTACAAGGAGGCTGTTGCAAAGGTGACAGATTGGTGACGTATTTAGTTTCTAATCAAGTAGTTCCTCTTCCTGCTTCAGTAATTCAGCTCCCTACCTCCCCCTCGTCCCCAGCCTCCCCATTGAATAGTGAATTATCACCATTACATCTGTTTAATGCGCATGAGCTGACCTACAAAGTATTAATGGTAAACCAAGGAGTTGATTGATGTTCCTAGCTAGCAGTGTTTGCATCCAAAGAATGGCTGGACAAATTTACAAATCTCTTGGCCGATAAAACAATAAACAGACATGTTTTTCAACCAAGTATTTAGCGGTTTGCCTGGAGTTTCACTGTAATCTCTCTATGTAGATATGTGCAAAAATAACCAAATAAGTAAAATGTGTGTGTGCGTCATGTAGCATGCATTAACTTTTTACTGAAACATACAGATGAATTAAAATATATTGCCTCCCCAATAACATCCCCAGTTAATTGACCACAAACATGTACAATCTACATGCAGTGCATAGATAATGATTAGTAGTCTCTTAACCTTGTCATTCCATCTGGTTAAATACAGGTTTCTTCCAGCACTTTCCATACCTCCTATGTTTACGCTGCACCTTGCCTAGGGAAATAGAGTAGATAATAATTCATTGTTTCTCCTTTGAACTTCATAGTCCCTATAAAGGAACTGATAGCTAGAATTCTGGATCGTTGCATTACTATGTTAACATAGCAGGGTCGACATGGGATTCAAAAGCAGATAGAGAAATTTGTCTGTGAAGTGACTGTGTGTGTAGTTTGGCAATATTTCTGGAACTTTACTCTCTACTGCCCTTAGAAAGTTCATCGTTTGTTTGCATGTATGTAGAGAAATCATTGAGTGTTATTTATGGACATATAGACGTGTCCATAGGAAGTATAGAGCTTTTTTTGGTTTCCTTTATAGAGCTTTAGCCTGCCTCAGCTCGATCACAGTGGTTTTTCTGATAGCTCTACTGCGACCCCAACTCTTTAGTGACTTTTTCTGCATTTAGTTAACTAACACTAAGGGCTTGTTCACACCAAGCGCGGAGCAGATCCGGACCAGAGCAGGTGCAGACCGGATCAAAACTGCGTCCAATGTATTCCTATGGTATTTTGACCTCCAGTTCACATCGCAGCGTGCGGATCCAGACCAGATCCAGACCGGATGAAAAAAATGCAGCAAGCCCTATTTTACCTGCTCTGGATCTGGTCTGGGACGCATCAAAAACGCATCAAAAACGCATGCAAGTGCCTGAAAGTCCATTTTTTACCAAAACCGGCCCTAAACGCATCCAAAACGCGGCACAACCCACTACACTGCGTGTGCAGAAACCTGACCGGATCTGGTCTGCATTTGGTGTGAACAAGGCCTAAGAGCTTGTGAGTTCTAAAAAGATGTGCAAAATAAATTTTTACATATTATGCTGCATCACTGCTGAAGACAAACTGCTCTGGCTGAGTGGTTTGCCATAGAATCATATAACAAACCATTTGTATGCCTCCAGTGATAGAGAGTAAAAGCTGCCTGGGTGCACTCAAGGCAAGTAGATCTAAATGATCCAGTGCAAGTGGCACTCACAGGTCTTGTAATGTAAATAAATGTATTGGTCGATGTTTCCACAAGGGACGGCTTGTCTTTCTCGACCAATACATTTATTTATGTTACTGTTGCTTCATTACAAGATCCGTGACTGCCTATGTTGGATAGATAGAGAAATATATATATATACACATATACAATGTACATCTACACAGTTCTGCCACACAGTACAGCAGGCGACCTGATTTTTCTGCCTGTTAAAGGAGAAGTAGTAGACTGATCAGTTCAGCTCTCTGTCCTTCTGTTCACTCCTATCCCCATTATCCTTGTTGGCACATGAGCACCGCAGCTTAACTAATTGGCTCTTTGTGCTGCTTCTCCATCTCCAGTCTGAGCTCTTCTGTACAGGGGATTGCTGATACCAAATGAAATTAAGGTTTGTACACTGCTTGCATTAACAAAATACATTTATTGATGAATTAACCCCTTCCCTGTCAGCGACGTAAGGCGTACATTGGAACAAAACAGTTTCCAGCTGGCTACATTAGAATTCCATATGTCACTGGCTTTCAGCCTTCTGCTATAAGCTCATGGGCCATAAACTTATAGTAGAAGGTTTCCCTTAAGTCTCCTCTGTAAATGAATAGCTGTCATTGGCAAGGGACAAAAATGAGACACCCTGGAGCTCTCTCCTCCCTTTGGGAGCCTGCTGCGGCCTGTGTCCCCTCCTATCCCTGCTGCTCTCCCCACCTGCATTGGCAGAGGGCACACAGAGCACATCCAGCTGCCGGCACCCAGCCGGGAGAAGAGAACTGTCAGGAAGCTGAGTGGCGCGGTGCGGGAAGAAGAGCTTGGCTCCGGTGATGGGTGGGAGGGGGCAGAGCAGTCGGGATGGAGAGCAGAGCACAAACCCTGAGGGATCAGTACTGATCGCTCAGTGTTTGTAAATAACTGAGGACATAGTAAGTGATTATCATGCACCACTTCCTGTTCATTCATGATTGGGTACATAGTAATCACTTACTATGTGCTCAGTTTATGAATGAATAGGAACACTCCGTATAGAGGCTTCCTGTTCATTCATACCTGGGGAGAGTACTATGCCTCCTCAGTTTGTGAATGAACAGGAAGCTCTCAGTACGGAGGCTTCCTGTTCATTCATACCTGGGGAGAGTACTATGCCTCCTCAGTTTGTGAATGAACAGGAAGCCTCCGTACTGAGAGCTTCCTGTTCATTGAGTACTGGGGCTGCAGTAAAAGAGACAGAGTGCTCTGTGACTTCAATGTCTTTTTTTTTTTTTTTCTATCTCAAAAAGGAAATATTGGGTGTCAGTTTAGACCCCAGATATTTCCCTGAAGACCCTGGCAGTAAAGTTTAAAATAATTACAAAATAAAGAAATAGTTAAAAAAACACACCATAACAACGTACACCATATTGTGTTGTACCTCATGCATATGTGCTGTGATGAATTATTAATTTAAGTGTGTTGCAGCGTTGTTACACATTGCCGTGCGTTGTGATACTGTGTTGCAATTAAATATATGCCTGCATAATTTTATCACAATACACACCAACACAGCGCACAAATGGCATTGCAGATCAGGTGTTACCATGACACAGATTTTCAGGATAAGTTGCTTATTTACAGCTTTGCATTCCTTTGTTTTTTTTACCGTTTACCAAAAAGGTACAATTTAAAATTTACACATTTGTTGTTAACTCAATACAGTTTTATCTTTTTAATGGGAATCTTGTATATTATGGGGAAAGTTGTGCGTGCTGATGATGATGATTTTAGTGTATTTTTTTATCTGATAAACACTTGCGCAACTGACGCACAACCTACAAAATTAATAGCACCATCTTTTATTTCTACTGGTCCTATACTCTCAGAAAATGTATGGTTTGGGGAGTATTTTACAAACTCTAAAAGTTGTAGCTGAAAATTACAAAAAAAAGGTAAAAAATTGCAAAAATGGTCCGCGCAGCTGAGGTCAAAAGTGTTAGGAGGAGCCTGGTAACAAAAGGGTTAATAAATAGGCTTTAATCTGTGTATCTTTTATATTGGTATGGGATTCAGCTTCTATCCCACCTCACCTCAACATTATTGGTTGTTGGGTATGCACGCAAACTACAAGTTCATGACTCCTGACGTGAACATGTGCACGTAATCCAAATATTTACTAATATAGTGGAACATATGGTATGGTAGCTGCATGGCTAGTGTCATCCAATGGAAACTCTGTGTTCATGAAGCTAGCAGTAAAGTGAAAGTAGGCAGCTAGTTTCCATATTCACTTATTCTTTTCACATGTTTTATAGCTTTCAAATGCAGTGCTAAAAAAAAAAACAGGGCTCTGCTCTGTATCCTTAGACAAACTGCAGTTTCTTTCATTGGTGAATTTCTATTTATCAGTGGAATAGTAACAGGCTGTCAATCGTGCAATACATTTAGGCCGCATTCACACCTACGCATTTTGACGTACATATTATGTGTGACAAAAAGCTCAGCACCTAAATTCACATTATTTTTAATGGCCCCCATTCATACCAAGGCGTTTTGTTGCAAGCTGCAAAACGCCTGTCGCTCATAAAAGTTCCTGAGCTTCTTTGGGGTGTTTTCATGCACGTTTGGCCCCATAGACTCCAATTTCAAAACCTGAAAAACACGTGACCCATATTTTTATACTCTGTTTTGCCCTTTTTCACATGCGTTTCCCCATTGACTGCCATGGTTTTGATCTGCCAGTCAAAACACACGTCTTCATATGCGCGTTTCTAATGCACGTAAAAATGCGCAACAAACACGCAAAAACTAGCAAAATATGCTAGGCAAAACCGCACACAAAAACTCTGACGCCTAGGTGTGAATGCAGCCTGAATGTGAAATGTTTAATCTTATGGCACACTGTAAGGAGCTGCAAAGTTCATATAAAAGCAGTTGACAAATGCAGCTGCTTCTTTGATCACGCCAGCTGTGTGAGATGGAAGGTTATAGTATAGTTATTAGAGATGCACCGAAACAAAAAATAAAAGACCGAAACCGAAAAAAAAATAATTTTCTTACCTTTTTACATTTTTTTAAAATATTTTTATTTAAATTGTTTATAAACTTTTTTTATATATTTTTTTTTTTATTCATTATTAAATGTTATGTTTTTAATTGTACTGTTGGGGGCTTCGTTGAAATATCAGGGGTCTAAAGAGACCCCTGATATTTCCTTTTTAAAATAGAAAAAGAGATTGAAGACAGTCCTCGATCTCTTTTTATGCATCCCCTGTTATAAATAAACAGGAATCCTGTTCATTTATACATTGAGGATATAGTATGAGTTACCATGTACATCTAAGATGTAGATCACTTCCTATTCAGTCATAACTGGTACATTGTAAATAACTGGACATAGTATGACTTACTAACGCTGACTGCTTGTACCGTTCTTCATCATGACTCGCTGTCACAGCTCGCTGCTGGCAGGGGAGCTTGGTCTATTTTGACAGCTGACTCCTTCCCTTCATCGCCACCTCGGGCTCCTGTGACAGCGCACAGCTGTCTCCGCCCCCACACCGCTCTCCATCCTGATCGGTCAGAGGAGGCTGAGGGGGGCGGAGCGGGAGGAGAGCCTGGCCTCCTGTTACATTGGGGCTCACATCGGTCTCCTTCCCCGCACCGCTCGGCCTCCTTTAACAGTTTCTCTCCTCCCCGCTGGATGCTGCGCTTTGTCAGAGGGGACATAGAGCAGGGAACAGCGGGGAGGAGAGAAATAAGGATGCAGAAGTGCCATTTTTGGCCGATATGTTTCAGTGGCCACAATTTTGGTGCATCCCCAATAGTTATCTCTCAATATACTCCAATGGATAATCAGAAGTGGCTGACTTCTAACTGTAAGCACAAAGTTTTTTTTGCATGTCTTTGTAAAAAAAATATAACGGACATAAGCTTGTACCAACATTAAAATTAATCTTATGGTCAATAGTAGGCAATTTTGCTATCTAATAAATAAAATTATTCCTCACATACCTGCCTGTATGATAATGTTGTGTATTACATACTAGTAAAATCATCTGGCCTTATAAAACTGATTGTACATTATGTACAACAGAATTATTCCTTACCTGCCCGTATGATAACGCTGTTTATTACATACTAGTAAAATCATCTGGCTTTATAATACTGAATGTACATTATATAGCAATGTAAGACATTATATGTATTTGCTGTTAGTGTAGTGAATAGCAGTATGTTTAAAACATAATATATGTGGCGTAAGTGGTTTGGGACATCTGTACAGATGTATCACATTTTACTTTTCAAGTTTGCTTGACAGGGTCAGTGCTGCTTTCCCATACGATAAGATTGGACAACATAGTAGCCAGCATCTCCTTGGGTTGCGTAAAGCTGTCTACAGGACCGTCAGGACCAACTTCCGCATTTCCCGACTGGCAACACTGTACATGCTTAAGAAATATCCTTTCCAATATGGATGTTAAAATAGTTTATTAAATTTATTGCGAACATGTCTTGTAAAATATTTTATGTTGAATAATAATACCACAAATATTAAGAATACTGCCTTGTGCCATGAACACTGTGGGAAAACATACTGACTGAAAAAGATTTTAACTGCAAATATGACCACTTTTCTCATGGGGAAATGTTCAGCTAGTTTACTGTTAGTAATACCAAAAGAGACCAAGTCTTTATGAGTGCAATATGATAATGGCGTTTCTGGTCATCTACTACAGTTTCTTGGATGCTCCTCTGCTGAAGCTTTTACTATTTCTTCTCTTAAGCTAAATGGAATATCCACCCCTTCCTGAATTCTCCATAGAAAGTTTCATGGATAGTTGGAGTTTGCATTTAGGATGGCTACTACAAGAGCCCCAGACAATATAGCTATGCTGTGTTGCCACGTGTATGTAGGCAGAATCCATTTATCATTGACATTTAATTTTTGGTTGACTTTGCCCAATTTAAAGACTGGCAGATTCACTCTTGAGGGCTTCTTCAATTTCTTAGGGACCCCAGGAACAGCTTCACATCTGATTTTGGCCTCACATACTAGCCCTCTACAAGGGTTTGTTTCTATTTCATTGGTGAATTCCTCATGCATTCATTTTTTTTACATTGTCGAACAGCCAACAGTACGGGTGAAGTTTCAGTTTAAATTTAATAAGAGGACAAGTAGTTTGGTAATTTCTGCCATTACTGCATTCTAATATTGTCCTCTGTAGAGTGGCAGAGCTAAGAGACATGGGGATGATGGGGAAGGCTCTTTGTTAAAGCCCACTCAAGGTGAAACATGTAGATCAGTCAAATTTAAAACTTCTGATGTATGCTTGCCTTAAGTCCCTGCATCCCCCTCTTCTTTATAGTCTATGTAGATAGGGCTTTATATCTTTCTGTACAGCAGAGGAATGTGCTATATGTACAAAGGTGGCCATGACATTCGAACTGTGGGTAGTCCTGCTAACACCACCCGGTTAAAAAAAAAAAAAAAAAAGATTTTTCAATTTAAACAAATGTATTCTGGAATGTCCTGCCCATTTATGATATGTAAATATTTGAAAAGCTTCAGCACGTTTTTTAAAGCAACATACTTAGTGTACCTAAATCCCAAACTTATTTTGCTTTAATTGTGGGTAGAGTAGTGAAGTTACATCCTCTGTCACTTTTTATTGCCGTCTGTGTCCCTGTTAGAGAAATCTAATCTCTTATTCTCCTGGTGACCACTGGCACAGGGACTGAAAGTTTGAATAAATGCAAAATTTTGAGTTTGGCATCAAAACAGTTATAGAGGGTAAATCCTCCAGTAAGGAAATTTTTTTCAGTGACAACTGGTTGAAGCCATTTCCCTGACTTGGTAGATATTTCCTCTCACTTCTGGTTTGTCCACAGGACATCAAATGAAAGACGATTTCCCTGATGGGATGCAAATGGTAAGAGATCCAAGGCCTTCTTAACGCTATCCAAAATGAAAGAAAAAACATTTTGGCTTTGGATCTATTTTAATTTGAAAACAGATAGTGCTGAGAAGCTGCTGCAGGAAAAAGGCCAACACATTTACTGTTATACAGCAGTTGTTCAATGCTGTTCCAAGAATTTGCAGAACTATGTTGTTAATATTTAATGCGATTATTGTCCTCCCTTAGTCTGGTTAGGTAAATTATCATTTTGAAAGCTGAATCAGAGCTGTAAAGCATTTGTGGCAATTTCAGAGATGTTTTTGGGGTCGGGGGGGAATATAATTCTTTGGGAATACTTGGTAAACATTAGATTTTATGAATAGGCATATAAAGATGGTTCGCACAGAAAACAAATGACACACAGCATGGGATGCACACTTTATAGAATGTAATACAAGTATTAATATTTTAAAAGTGTTCAATTACAATTATAATGCTATGTGGGCATGTGACCCATGTGCTGATGAAGGTTAGGGATCCCTAATCTAGATGTCTTTTAAACTAAGTTTTGTAACATATTTGCTATGTTTTGTCATCCCATAAAGTACAAATAACACTGTTTGCCGATGTTAAAAGTAGTCAAACTGAAGAAAATAGTAATCATGTGTGATCATATGGAAAGTCAACTCTTTGATGTAAAACACATACCAAACTCTTGCCTGTGTGGCATTTCCAAACTAGTGCTTATTTTTCTTAACTGTGACCAAACTTATCCTTTAAACTCTGAGATAGACAATGTGACTAACTACATCTGCGTTGTTCCTTTGAAAGACCTGGGCATGGGATTAAGTGAAGAGCAGGTGTCTGAAGAGGAGGCCCACAATCTCACAGATGGCTTTAGCCTCCCTGCTTTGAAGGTAGGCACAGTACTGGTACAGTTTGTATTTGTGTATATTAAAGTGCAAAAAAAGTTGCAGAAATGGATATTTAATGAGATTGAAATTATACTAACAGCCTCCGTTGTGTCATAGTCTTAAACTGACCTTCGACAGCTCAAATATTGGCTGATTCCTGCTAAACCTGCCGAAATTCCATCTGTGAATGGCCCTGCAAACACCACCAACTCGATAAATATCAGATGCAGTCACTGTTTGGGATATTTGGGAACCCATTGGTGCCGCAGCTTCTGAATACAGTAGCGGGCAGAGGAGATATCTTCATCCATGCTCTTTTAGTATGGTTGGGAGAATTGATTTTAATATCTCTCTCATTCAGCCAGTGGTCTAGAGTACTTACTGAAGATTTTTTTGTGCCCTTGTCCCCAAAGTCTCCCACTTTATCTCTGCACCCATACCCCACCTCAGTAGTTTTCACTTTTTGCAGAGAATCCTGCTTCTCTCCTTCTATAGTAATGAGTGGTGCTTCGTGCTGCTGAAAATAGCACTCAGGTGTGAATGTTATTCTGCTACATGATGACCAACTACTGGGGATTTGTTCAAGATTGCTTAGTGGGTTCACTGACATTGGACATCATGCAACCTGGATGAGGAGGGGAGTGTCTGTGGGGGACAGTGCCAGGGTGAAGGTGAGTATTGCAGTAAAAGCTGCATTTTTGTTTCATTACCACAGGTACTGGTAAAATAATTTCTAATTTCTTTAATTTACCTGAAGTTGAGCTTTAAAGCAGAAGTAAACCCAGCAGTCCAATACCACAAAAACAAAATCTCATTCAAAAAGATAAGCATTTGCTTACTAAACACCTTATTAGGAACTATACTCATTTGTTTGGTGCAGGTTGTGTCTCTCCCATTAGCACTGATGCCAGTGCCATCTTTCATCATTATTTCTGGTGTTTGCATCCCATAACGCAGCTTTTGCCATCATAGAAAGTCATTTAGAAACCTTGCACATACCAAAGTGAGCCAAGCTTCGCTTTGGATTGCAAGTTGCCATGGTGCTATGACATCACGATCACAGCTCATCCCCAGGGCAAGTTGCAAACATCAGAAGACATATGCAAGTTAGGAGGGGTTTCTGAACCGCCAGAGATGTCATCCAAATCAGTTACAGCGATATTGCAAGGGGAAGGGTGTGGGTGATCATGATGTTGTCTATCAGTAGTATGTTATCAAAAGCTTACTGATGGTGTGAAGTTAACATTTTTTGTTTATTACCACTTTTTAAAGTAAGCTAACACCTTTTAACTGTGTGCAGTAAACATGTTTTTACATGTATAGTTGTTGTAACTTATTAAGAAATATAAAATAAATCTATTTTATTGTACTGTCCTGCCTTGATTCATGGCAGCAAAATATCTGAAAATGTATTTTGGAACACGATTCATTTTGTATTGACAGGTTCTGTTTCAGCTCTGGATAGGCCAGAGTTCAGAGTTCTTTCGGCGCCTAGCCCTACTGCTGTCCCCCGAGAATGCATGCCAAGGACCAATCACTAACCCAGTGCTGCTTCCACACTACGTTTGGTGTGATGTTGTTCAGGATCTACCTCACACGCAGGCTGCCTGCCTGACGGAACTGAAACGTAGCTATGAGTTTCATCGTTACTTTGAAACGCAACACCAGTCCAGCGCAGAGCACACGCACAGGAAAAAAAGAGAGACCGGGGAGCTGAACAGCCTTCACGGGGCTGTACGCAGTCTACAGCTACATCTAAAAGCACTACTCAATGAGTAAGTGTATATCTTGTGACATGAACGTAAATTTACATCTGACTTATGAGCAAATGAAAGTCTAAAGAAAGGGAGGGCGTCCAGATGTAGGCACCTCTCTAAGACTGACACGTCTATGCATTGGCCTCTCAATATTTATTTATTTATTTTTCTTTCAAGGGAGAACATCTCTCCAGTACTCTGATTATTATCTGACAGTCATAGCTGTGGGCAGCTAATATCACATACTCTGTGATACTCTGCCTGTAAAAGTAAGCCTTCCTTGGGAGAACCAAGGTGGGCTGCCATTGCTAATTCAATAGTCATTCGGAATATGCTGCGTGTTTGGCTGTTACACCAAACCACTGGCTTCCATAATTTGAGTTACTGACACAGAGTAAGTACACCAATCGGCAAAGTCATCAAAGTCTTACTTGCATAATTATAGCAGGTAAGTTATACCAAGTATTGATACAAGAGAGTCAGTCCTACACCCAGACAATAAGCATTTGCAGCATTAGATGTAGCAATGACATTTTTTTAGCATAGGTTTCCTCTAACAAAACTGGCCATTTGTACCAGGACAGAAAACATGAGCACAACAAAATGTAGCAAAGAAAGTGATCACACTGGTTCACACTCAGTGTTTTGTAGTGCTTTTTCATCCCTAAAAACCCTCAAAAAATATGCCCCCCCCCCCCAAAAAAAATCCCATTAATTCTATGGCCCTGTTCACATCTGAGCGTTTTGTCCCAATAAGCAAAAAAGCCTGTCGCCGGAAAAAGTACATGAGCTTTTTTTGGCATATTACTTGTTTTGGCCCCATAGGAAACGCTTGAAAACGCACATTTGCTGTGCTTTTGGCCATTTTATGCGTGTTTGCTCACTAACATCAATGAGCTACAGTCTGCTCACAAAAATGCGCGATGATTTAAGCGCAAAAAAACGTGCAGAAACAATGTCGCCTAGGTGTGAACCCCGTCTTAATGTTATCGGTACACATGAACCTCTTTCTGCTGTACCTAGCCTTCAAATAGCTGGTCTGCATCTGTTTAACTCATGGGTGGCCATATGTGGCTGATCCTGAATTCTGCAACACTCAGTTTCACTGAGCTGATTATGGTGGTAGTTTTGATTTGGGAATATCTAATATATAAACGGTGTCAATAAATCCCTAGAAGATTATAAAGCACACTTAAGAGCTGTAAAATGGCATATGTTTAGCAAGAGAAAACAACATGCTACCAGCAGACCCATATACCCACTGGTGTTATTCGTTTCTATCTTGTCCAGAGTGATTGTACTCGAGGATGAACTAGAAAAGCTTGCATCCTCTAAGGAAACCCAAAGCATGACAGCTGAAGCTACACTTATCCTTGAAGAAAAACTAAGGCTGATACAGCCGCATGTACAGGCCAGTAACACATGCTGGGAGGAGGCATTGTGTCAGGTGGAAAGGATGGTTCGGAGACCCCCAGCTATAAAAGGTATACTACACCTCCTGATGTGCTGGTTTCAGTTTTTTTCCTTTGACAATACAGGGCTCTGTTATTGCTGTCTATGTAATTACATGCCTGGTATTCACAGTCACATGCTGACCATGTGTTTGATTTCAAATAGCGGAAATTTAATTTGCGCAGAGTGGTTAACATTATTACATCAGTTATTCATTTATAGGCAGTCAGACCAAAATGATTTGTATGGCCAGTACTACAGAAGTACTGTTTATGTATTCTTGTGCCTTCCATGTATAATCTGTAAAGTAGGGAACTATAGTGAGCTTGAGGAAAACAAAAAAATCACCCAAGCCTATCAACACTTCCCTCCAGGTTTTTATTCTAAAGATTGTCAGATTTGTATTTGAAATGATACCAGAAACGTATTAGTGTGATGCAAATAGCACATTTTTCACTATATCATGTATTATTCAGTAATTTGGTTTGGGAGATGCATTGCTTATAGTAGATTCTGCTGCAAATGTCAGATTCTGTCTTTGATATATTGAACCTTGTGTCATAGAAACTGCAAACACCTCTTGTGAAAATTTACATTGCCTTGTTGTGCCCAATGTGCCTCCCCCTTTACGAATTGAAGACCGAGATCCGGTGCCAGAGGAACAGGTAATCGATGAACCATAAGTCTGTGATGTTATCATCCATGTTTTGCTTGTTTGGCTATTATATAGGGTGGAGTTAATATTGTGGATCCACCAGTGGCTCAAAATACTAAAATGTCACTGTTTTCTTTCAGGAATTAGAAGCCTATGTGGAAGACATTGTTGTAGACAATGAGTTTAACAGGGAGGATATCTATCTATTTACTCCAGAAGAGAGGGAAAGACAGAAGCGAGAAAGGGAGGAGTCTAAGAGAGTTCTGCAAGAGCTAAAGGCTGTCTTAGGCTTAAAGGCATCGGAAGCTGAAAGACAAAAATGGAAGCAGCTGCTATTTAGCGATCATGGTGTGTATTATGATTCTGTACAAAATGGCACTTTCTTTATTCCATCTTCCTAAATGTTAACACAACTTTACACACAACTAGTGAGTATATAGAAATTATAGCTCCCCCCAAAAAATGTAACTGAATGGGAAGTTTTGGATATTCTGTAGAAGGGTTAGATCCTCTGTAAAGCTTATCTGTTTCACTATTAGGGTGATTTTCCCTCACCGGGAGAGGAAGTGGACAGAAGCAGGGAGAACACATCCAGCAATAAAATCATGTTTTACTAAAGTGAAGCACAGATAGGACAGTTTTATAGCTGTGTCACAAATGGAGATATTCTTTTCACTGTATTTGAGGAAAGGAAGTAAGGGGAGATCTTTACAATGGGGACATGGTTCTACCCTTCCCTATTTTAATTAGATGCTTAAAAAAAAAAAAAGTTTGGCTGGAGATGGGTTTTTATTGATAAATCTGGAAAGAAATCCTACAAAAAAGCATCACAGTCATAGGGTGGTTTGAGGGCTTTGCGCGACCTGAATTGTGAACCAGGCCACCAGAATTGCTTTTAGTTAACTTCATCCAAATCCATTTGGTTGAGCCATTACATTTATCTGTTTGCTCAAGTATTTATTGCAGGGGTAGGCAACCCTCAGCACTCCATGAGACATAGCAAGACTCTGACAGCCACACTCATGATTCCCAGAGGCAAAGACATGATGGAACTTGCAGTTTCACTACAGCTGGAGTGCCAAGGTTTCCTAACCCTGATTTTAATAGCTGGTGAAGATTTATTTTATAGATAATTCAAAGTATTCATCAAATTTTTTAAGAGCAAAAGAATATTTGGTAAAAATATGCATCTTCCGTGGGGTCAAGAACGTTCGGGTTACTTTTCACTAGATGTTAAGCAAGAACTACGCTGAAAACTGTTTTTTTTTAATGAACCGGCACAGCTTGATTGTTGGTCTTGACTATTTCCTACAAGTAAACAAACATTTTACAGGCTTCACCAATAACTGTACTTTTCATATACAGACCTGAGTTGTCAAATACTGCAGACCAGCAGCATTTCTAAAGCCCTACTTCACCCAAAACTGATATTTCTATGGACACCCATGGATTTATAGGTACCCAGTCACTTATGTAGGTAGTCAGGTTGTTGAGACACAATCTATCTTTCCTTCATCTCTGTAACACACTGATGGCAGAAACTTGAATGTCCGGCCCTGTGTTTAGCACTAATGTCTGGTCCTCTTAGGCATTAGTGATGAAGCCCATGCCTAAGCGATGCATCCTGGGAAGGTTACATCAGCAGTGCATTACTGGGAAATCTCATTTGTAAGCTGCAAAAATCTCACGAGATTTCAGGTAAAAGCATTTTTTTCCCCTTGAGACGATGTGCATGGTCACAATTCCTAGTCATATGTGCCAGAGTTCTAGGAAGTATAGGGAGCAGTGGAGGAGGAGGCCGGCTGGGAGGATTTCGTGATTATAACCTTATTTTCTTCCGCACTACAAGGGTTCGTTAAAATTATGCCCAGAGTTCTTAAGGGTCCGCTCACACCACATGTGTTGGGGCTGCGCTGGCCGTTGTTTCCAGCGCAGACCCAATGCAAGACAAGGCAATTACACAGTGCAGCACTGTGTCAAGCACCGCACACTAGCTGCTGTTGTTTTTTTGCTGCTGGTATGAATGGACCCTTAGTCCAGGCTCCTTATTTCTTTATATGATCCCTTTAACCACTTGCTGTCCGGGGGAATTTTCTTACTATTTGCACACACATGATAAAATATAAATTTTTGGCTAGAAAACAGCTTCAGACCCCCAAACAATTATATATTTTCTGAAAAGCGGAGGCCCTGTAGAATAAAAAAATGCTAGTTGCAATTTTTTTACGTCGCACGGTATTTGCGCAAATGTTTATCAAACCAGTATTTTTAGGAAAAAATAAACTAAATTAAAATTTAGTGCACAGAAACATAATACCCAATTTTTGGTAAAATATAAAAGATGGGGTCACGCCGGGTAAATAGATACCAAACATGGCAAGCCTTAAAATTGCATTCGCCCGTGAAGCCGCAAAAAAAGTAAATACCCAAAATTTCCCATAGGGAACATTTTAAAAGTTTTTACCCCTCATCAGTTTAGTGCTAACAGTGATTGACAGCACTAGAATTATTGCTCTCACTCCAACGTTCGCAGCGATATGTAACATGTGTAGCGCAATTGTCGTTTTTCGCACGTAGGTGCACCGACGCGTGTTTGTGTGGGGGGCGGGGGACTTAAAAAAAATGTTTGCATTATTTTTCTTTTATGTTACTTTCATTTTTATAGCTTTTAAACACTTTCTTTTTTTACACTAACCTATTGCTATTAGATAGGGGGCTAACAAGCACCCTATGTAATAGCAGATAGGGTGTGACAGGTCCTCTTTATGGAGACGTCAGGGGTCTTTCAGACCCTTAATGTCACCTAGGGACCCCGAGGAAGAGGAGATCTGCTTCCCCAGCTTCATCTCCTGGCTCTAAGAGCGGGAGACTGTGTACAGTGACACCGGAAGTGATCGGAGGAGAGATCAGCGGCTGGAAGTCGCTGAATCTTTCTCCGATCATTGAGGGGAGACCCGCCGAGCCGCTCCCGGGAGCCGCACGGGGACAGCGGTGCCCAGGGAAGACAATGGCGCACAGTACAAACGATCCGGCCGCTGTACAGACAACGGATCGCTTGTACATTAACAGCCATCGCTGGCTGTTAAAAGCGATACCAAGAACACGCCATGTTCTTGATTTAACACTTAAATGGGCCGCCGTCTATAGACGTATTGCGGCCCAGAAGTGGTTAAACAGCTCATACACAATCCTTTCACACTTCTGAATTCCATGCTATTAAACTTGAAGAGGCACACCAGCAGCAACTTGCCCCCAGGATTCAGAAAAGCATAATCCTCAGAACTTAAATTGAGTTAATATTTTTACATTTACTAAGAGGTATGAGTGGAAAAAAATAATTCTGCAATGTCATTTAAGTAATATATCTATATTATGTTTTAAGCTGCAGTGAAACCTTTGTCAAATGAGCAAGCTTTGGATCTTTCTGAGTCAACTGAAGACCCGAAACCTGAATCCCAATACCTTGGCAAGACTCCGAGCTTTCATGGAGACGAAACACAATTAAATGGGACTGAACCTATTAATGAAGAAGCCACTACTCATGAGACACCAGACTTGCCTGTTAATGAATATATAAATGAGATGGACTCATTCCGTTTGCTTGAAAAGCCTGTATTAGCCAGTAGTAAGGAAAATGCAGAGCCTGGTCCTGAACCTAGGACTGTGCTACCTGCCTCCATTAAAGAAAGGCTGGCTCGGATCCATCAGTCATCAGATTTACACTTTGCCTCTGGAGTAGCAGCACAAGTGGCTGCACGGTCACTTACCTTCACTTTTTTTCAAGAACAGACTTTTGGGGATGAGTGGGATGATGATAATGACACGGAGTGTGGGGATGCTCATGTTCAAGATGAAAGAAGTGATGGCGGGTGTTCGGAACACGAGGAATAACCCACTTAGCTAGGCATGACAGGCCTTTCAGTTTATCTGACAGAATGTGTGCCCACTGCACAGCTACAGACTAGAGTAAACACAAGGTGATTAACATCCTCTGTGCCTGGAAACCCTGCAGTGTCTCAGTGAGCCTCCTTCAGGCTACTTTATACAGTTTGTTTTTACACTTACTATTCTTCAGTCCAGCCTTTTAACTGGAAGGAACTTGTTCCTCTAGTTCACTGGCAGCTGTCTACAGTATGTAATAATTGTACAAACCAATGCAACTGCCTAATATTTATTTCGTCATTTCATTATTTAATGTTATTTATTCCAGGTTTTTCTTTTTGTTCCAGAACAATAATACTGTGTTCTCCTTTGCTGTCTTGCTTTCTAGACAAGATAATGGTTTGTTTTAGAAATCCAGACAACTACTTGGTGTGCTGTCAGTGCCACCTTGGATCTATCTGTCCAGTATGTACTGGCTAATGATGTTGTTCCTTTGTGACTATATTTCTTAAAATGTTCTACTTATCTGAGCTTAGAATGTCTTTTTTTAATAAAAAAAAAAAGTAAAATGATATTTTGTGCTGCATTATTACTTATTTTGCCATACACACATATGATTGGTGTCTCTCCACATAGTTACAGGTTCCTATTGCCTAACTTTAGAAACAAAATTGTTTAAAATGCAACCATGAAATAGAATGATACAGATATAGAGCATAATACCACATTGTTTCATCCATTCCTGCTAAGAATGTACTAGTAGTCAGGACCTTACTAGAAAATGCATAAAATGAGGCTAACATTTGGGAATGGCATTGAATACACTGAGATTGAGAAGCCCAACGGTAAGTTTAGGGTTGTGGACATCACCCTAAGCAGGTCTAGCCCACCCTCTCCCCCTAATTGCTATAGTTACCTAGATCCATGGCCAGCGACTTTGTTTAAATCCCTCCTTTGGCTTCTTCATTTGACGCCTATACCTGCACAATTTGGCTCTGTAGGCTTTTATGGGGCTGCTAGATGGATAAGAATCTATCCGTCTAGAAGTCCTATGAGGTTGAACTGTGGCGGCGTAATTTTGTATCAAGAAGCCAGTAGAGGGACATAAACAATGGCGCAGAGCTCTGAGCTACTTTAAATGAGTTTTGTTATAATACACTTTTTTCCTCTTTGGGGTACTAATGCCTCAAACCTCCTTTTAGTGTTTGGTTTTAGTTTATTTGGTTGTGTAAATGGTATTTGTATGCAACTGTATATATTCACTTAAAGAGAAATTGTACATGGCACTGGAAGTGACTACTGTACTTCTGAGGCTTTATGCAATCTTAATTCTAGATTAGATGTTTCAGTGAACAAAGTTAATTTTTTTTTTTTATTCATCATTAAAGATTTTTGAACATGTATCCAAAGTGTCCTAAGTGAAATTCTGGCTAATTATCCTTTAACAATCAAATTTGGTTTGGACACCACCACCCCTCTCAAAACCTGTGAAATAATTCAACATTAATTTAATTGACAGCAGAGACACATATGGGGGACTAGAGTACATGCATGGTGTGGGGCAGAGGGAATTACATTGACAAGGTTGCGAGGCGAATGGACCCCCGGTGTTGGCTGGAAATGTCAAAAAGAAAATATAGTAAAGAATGTCAAAAAGAAAATATAGTAAAGAATTTCTGCTTTACTAATGCTTACAGAAATTGTGAAAAGAGTTTGCAATGTGTGTGTTACATGGCCATTTTTGTTTGGCTTTGCAGACATTTTGGTAATATTTATTTTCTTGGGCCCCAGTACAGTAGCAATTATTTTTATTTGGGTCCTCGGATATAAAGCCTTGCTGTAGAAAGCTACCTATGGTCAGTGTGGATCAGCAGTTCTGTGGCTTCAGGTTAGTAGGAAATGAACTGGGACCTCAGCCCTGTAACTATATAGGAGTTTGGTATTGTTGCTGCAAGGTGTTGGACATGGCAACTTCTGTTATGAGTAGATGATTAGAAACTCAAGGTTTGGTAAAGCACTTGAAGACACAGAAATGTTGTAGAAAAAGATGCAGCTTACCCATTACTGCTTCTAATCCTTGCAGCCTTGTGTCCCCCAGATAGAGATAAACCAGTACTAAATAACAAGCACAAAACAAGGTGCACCAGATAGCACACAACACCATTTAATTAAACCATTAAAAAGCAAAAAGTATTTCACTACAGCCCACTAGGCTACAGGCATATCGCACTATTATGATGGGTGTCCAGTACAGCATCAATGTTTGCAGGAGCACTCTACCCCTTCTGGCCAGCCTGAAGGAAGTGCTATGGCATGGATACAACTGCATACAATGAATGATCTGTCAACGGAACTTGTTTCCGGGGGATGTTCTGGTATGATGGGTGCCCAGTACAGCACTGATGATTGCAGGAGAAGTCTAGCCCTTCTGGCCAGCCTGAAGGAAGTGCTATGGCATGGATACAGCTGCATACAATGAATGGTCTGTCAACAGAACGTGTTTCCGGGGGTGCTCTGGTATGTTGGGTGTCCAGTACTGTTTGCAGGATCACTCCACCCCTTCTGGCCTGCCTGAGGGAAGTGCCAAGGCATAGATTCATCTCTGTACAATGAATAATCTGTCAACAAAACCAATTTCTGGGGGTGTTGTGGTGAACAGAACCTACTTGTAGGAGCTTTAGAAGATCACATGTCTCTAAATAGCGGCAGAAGATTTGCTGACACCCCCATGAGCAGGTTCCATTCACAGATTAACTGACCAGAAGGAGTAGAGTGCTCCTGCAAACATCAGTGCTGTACTGGACTCCCACCATGATGTTGTGATATGCCTGTACCCTAGTTGGCTGCTTGTAAGTGATTTTTAATGGTTAAATTAAATGATACTCTGTGCTATCTGGTACGACTTAGTTTGTATTATGTTTTTAGGCACTTAGAGAGATTTATCCCTGCATATTAGCAAGACAGCTATGCCAGCTCACTCAAAGTTCCTTGCAAGGCCATGTCTTCTCTGAAAATGTATGGTATGTTTACATGAGTCAGTGAGTACAGATTTTGTGTCTGCTGTGTTGCAGTAGATTGTGCTGTGCACATGCAAGTGTGGTGCTATTCTTTACTGTTCTGCATTTCATTATAAAAGCTTTTTCTAAGCTGCTGTATATTATCTCTAACTTTTTGGGGTTTTTGTAACTCCTTTGGCGCCTTTGGGGGGGAAACTGAAGCACACAGAGAAAAACAGCACATACAGACGCCATACAGGGCTTGGTAGAAGTTGATCCTGGGCTCACAATGCTAAAACAGTGCTATAGCAGCCTTTTTCTTCAGAATAATGTATATATTTTTAACATCATTTATATTGTTTATAGTAAAGTAGTATACATTTTATTTTCAACAATTTACACTAGAGAGATAATAGGATGTAAGATTTAATATCTCCTTTGATTGATGCTTTCAGTCTTAATATGAAATTTTTTTTCTGTTTCCCAAAAACCATTTGGAAGGTTATTTTATCCTGACTTGCTGCAGGGGTTCACATGATCTCACTACATAAATGAGGCATTTCCTGGTCTTTATACCTTAACAATAGTACTAGTGTTTAGGACTATGTTTATTGGGAACCCTAGGGAATAGATCAGTAGCAATATATCTAAGATATGGCAGTTTCTTCGTCAGTGCTAAAAGCCGCTTTGTAGATGTAAATTATTTTCTTCAATTCCTACATTGCAAAGAACTGTCTCTCTTTCAAAGACTTGAAGCAGACTTCAGTGCAGGAAAACTGTGCTAATTAAACTGTAGAATATGCAGGAATTTACCTGTTCACATTTTCAATTTGAAAAAACACGTTATAACTTTTGAAATATAAATTATAATTTATAAGTCTCATATTGGTATATCACTTTTTAAGAAGGTGAGTATTAAGACGATCCCTTCAAGTACCCTGATTTATATAAAGGTGCATTTTAAAACTCTATTTCTCTCCTCTCCCTCTCTCTCTCTCTCTCTCTCTCTCTCATCTTCCCCTCACTGACTCTCTCTCTCTCTCCCATCTCCCCCTCCCTTTCTCTCCCATCTTCTCACTCACTCTCTCCTACTTACTCTCGCTTTACTCCCATCTTCAACCTCACACTCTCTTTCCTATTTACTCTCTCTTTCTCATCTTCTCCCTCCCTCATGCTTTCCTTTTTACTCTCGCTTTACTTCTTTTACCATCTTCTCCCTCACACTCTCTTTCCTATTTACTCTCTCTTTCTCCTCTTCTCCCTCCCTCACGCTTTCCTTTTTACTCTCGCTTTACTTCTTTTCCCATAATCTCCCTCGCACGCTCCCATTTACTCTTACTTTACTCTCTCTGCCATCTCCTCCCTCACTCACACACTCTCTCCTACTTACTCTCGCTTTACTCTCTCCCATCTTCTCCCTCCCTCACACTCTCTCTCCTATTTAGTCTCGCTTTACTCTCTCTCCCATCTTCTCCCTCCCTCACACTCTCTCTCCCATCTTCTCCCTCTTTCTTACTCTCTCTCCCATCTTCCGCTCACTCTCTGTTTTTCTCTCACTTTGCTCACTCTCTCTTCTCCTGTAGTCAAATGTATTTTGATACAACAAAAAGTTTACATGCCGTTAGCAAAATGTCTGCTTATGTGCAGTATAACACTGTTCCTGTTTACAGAATAGAACAATGATTTTGAGTCATTTCTTGCCAGTGCTTAGAAGCACTCTTTATTGTAAATAGGAAGCTGGCCAGGTCTGTCTGGGATTTATGCAGGCCTACTTACAGACAAGCCCAGACATATTGACCCAGCACAGCATCTTTCAACTCCCCCTCTCTTTCTAATCCAGTTCCTCAGTTAAAAGAAATGCAGTGGTTGGCATACATGAATGGAAGGAAATATTTATGCTGGGGTGGTATGAGGTGAGCTCATTTAGTAAAACTAATTAATAGCCTCAGACTGTCTCATTGCTTGCACTATTATTTCCCGACAGCGCTATGCAGCAAACTTTGTGGAAAACAATGCATAAAATAAGTGTCCTGTCTTTATAATGAATCCATAGTTTGGTAAATACACAACAGTGGGGCTTTCAT